CAGGGACATGACATCATATGGACAAGGGAACAAACTGAATCATACACAAAGTTCATTCCAAGCTGGTTATATCAGCAGTTTCACGCAGACAATGCAATTATCTGTCTGAGCTTCTTAGACGTTTGTTTCAAGCAAAGCAGTGGGGCAGTTCGAACGACAGCTTTAACACTGGACAAAGAGCCACTGTACAAATAAAAGCCACAGGATATTTAAGGCTGGAAAAATATCTGGGTCCCCGCCAGATCTAAGTTTAGGTCTTAGGAGCGTGTGAGAGGTCGAGAACAAGTCTTGAGTGAGGCAGCAAGAACCTGACATCTGACCCATGTGAGCTCCCAGTCAGACGAGGTTAGAGACGAGCTACTGCTAATACAGCATGTCAGGGTCAGCATGTCTGTGTTTGTTTAAGGACAGAAGATCTTCAGGAATATCAAAGATCTGTAGATTATCCTGAAGCATTAATTCTCTAAGACACACTGCAGGGTCTAAAAAGTAAATTCGGACAATATTTTGCTTAATTTTCAAAACTATGACATGACTATTTAGCTACAACAAAATTAAAAGAATTAGCAACAAATGATTTCCCCTCTCTGGATGTGCTTCCAATGAGCTGCGATAGTTGGCATGATCAGACGGACAACATTCACACTCACACACAGACAAAGAATTGTACTGTTACAGACAAAGATGGAGATGAACAACACCATGCCCAGCACAAATCCTGAATGCATCTGTAGAGCACAAACAAACTACTGAGATTCAACTCAGAAATGAACAACAACATACAAAACCTGCTTGTTTTTTAAACTGCAAGGATTACAAAAGCTGAAAACAAACTTAATTTACGAAGCAGGGTTTGGGTATTGACCAATACCCCAAGCTGGGAGCATTTCACAAGGTATTGGTCAATCCATCATCTAAAGTCGCAATCTGTGAAGAAACCTCTGGCTCAATCTGGATATTTTAAATCAGTATGGAAAATTAAGCCAGGACAAAATTATTACATCTATTAGTCACCATGACAACAGCTATCTTAATAGTGCTGGCTATGCACGCCAGCATGGAGACCAGCTGGCGTATTTAGCTGCCACTAGGAGCTATACGGTTGCCCACAATCCTTTGCATTAAAGTACATATACAAAATTACCTCACAGAGTTTAAAGAAAAAGGTATTTTTTCTTCATATTTAGGCCTAGCCTTTGTGGCACAGGTAGAAACCTTCATATGTTTTAGGTTTATACTAGAGGGTTTAACCTTAAGTTACATTTGTGTAACCTTTGTTTTTGTAGTTTTTTTCCTGGAAGGCTGTGGTCCTAATTTCACAACTATCATACATCAGGTAGTGGGGTCAATAAGGAAGAAGGCTACCAGACCCTGGATAGTGTTCTTATAGTTGACAAAAAAAGTGAAGGGATAGGAAATAGAAAATGGAGGTAGGATCTGCAATTTGAGGTATTGACTATCCTGTATATTTTGGTTCTTTCTGTGGTTATTACACCTGAATTACATTATGGTGCATTAGCAGGTTTCTGCAGACCGTTATAACATCCTAAGGAGGCAGCTGGAACATTTAAATCAGCTGTGTTGGAGCAGAGAAATTTCTTAAACAGATAGGACCCTTAGTGAACAAAGAAAACTACAATGCTGAATTGACCCAAATTTCAGATTCATATTTACAGAAACTTTCAACCAATATGAATAACACTTCAAAACCAAATCAGTTCAGTGTTTATAAATACCTTTGAAATACATCATTATCTGAGTTTTTTGGTCACAGGAAGTGGTGCATGTGTTTCTTTTATTTGGCAGTTTAAATGACATTTTGTTGTCTCTCCCAGTGGCGGTGGACATAATTACTCATGACCATTTCCTGTTTCCCATCAACCATATCCCCTCTGAGGCCTGATCCTGTATCCTGTGGTGAAAATGCTTTTTTGGGGGGAATCTATACACAATTAAAGAAGCTGCATTTTTGCCAAGTGGACCTCACAGGAGAGGAAGAAGAAAGAAAAGAGTGGAGAAAAGTATGCAGTCAGTGCTATTCCAGCAGACTTGTTAAAACCTGAACAGCAGAAATGTTAGTTCCCACTGAGCTGTAAAATTACACAAAGGATTTATTCCACCGCCTAAGTTAAATTTATACACCTGAGAGAAGGAGTGACATGTTCAATGGATATTAATTCTAGCTTCTGTATGAGATATACAGTTACATGTGTACGCTTGTGCAGATGGGAGGAGTTTTTAAGAATACCACCTTGCTGTGCTGCAAGTAAAATAATAAATAAATAAATGCAGATTTAATTAGTGAATAAGATGGGGATTTCTTTGTAATCCCCATGGTTTTCTAATATAACAGACTGTGGGCTGCTCAGCTCTGCCCATACAAAGACTCTCCCTGTTTGATAAACCCACCCATAGTTAGAGAAATGCAGTGGGAGGAACTAGTAGGTGTCAAAATGAATGGGTATATAGCACTGGCAATTTCTCATTAAATACTAGGGATGCCTGTAAATTTCATTAAATAATTGGTCAAATATGAATGCAGTCCTTTATCTTTTATAAAAAAGTGTTAAAAAAAAGGCTTGATTAATCAATATGTTGCACACTAATCAGCTGTTGAGCCATTGGACACAATTTCCCTTCTGCTCCAAAGTTGCAGGACGCTGCCTGTCAGTCTCTATGAGAAATTCCCATTGGGGTTGGAGGCTCTGTATATTGAGGCAAACAAGAAAGAAGGCCCTGATTGGATAAAATGCTAAATACGCCACTTTCAGTGAGGCTAAACCTCTTAGGGGGAGTCAGGGTGGGTTGTGAAGCCGAATGCTCAATGCTGATTGGCAGAACTTTAGGATTTTTGACTGACAGTTAGCAGACAGCGAGGAGCTTTGACTCAAAGAAATGCAGGTGAGAGAGGAAAAAGCATTAGTTTAATAAGAACAGTCATCTTGTTTATTATTGTCTGGAGTTTATTCTTTCAAAGTGCTTCAAAACAGCAATTTTTTGCCATTTCATTAACACCATTGAGCCTCCCCTGTTTCAGAGAGTTGACACTTTTATACAGGCAAAAAAGGACATCTACTGTCAAAACTAACCAAGAAACTGCTAATTTTGACAATTAAGACTGGGAGGAGATCCACGCAATTTAAATGTGTCTTGATTATTTTTCTAACATTGCTTTATAAGGATTTTATCTTGTTAATTTTACTGACTTTGTAAAATGTAACTAAATACCGACAGCAAAATGCCAAGGAGATCATCAGACAGACATTCCTACATACCACCATAATGTCCTTAATTTAATATTCAGACAGAGAAGCACTTTTACAGCCCATGTCTGAGCAGTAAACAAGTTTATCATCAAAGAACAGTTAACAAAATTACAGCTTGATTAAATCTTTTTTTTTTTTTTTTCAAGAACCCATGATAGCTGGTTTGTGGCAGCCCCTTACAGGCCACAACATCTATAAAAACTCCAGAAACATCACTTTATTCTTTACTTTACTCTCATTTTACATAAACTTTAAAGTGAAGGCCTCTAAAGATAGTGTGCAAATAAAGGATCCATTTTAAGGTTGTGGTTCATATAACTTGATAATGCCCTGAGTTACATGTCATTCACTTTAAACTCGAAATATTCTGGACAAAAAAACGACAACAAAAACACTGGATTATAGTTTGGACCATGTCCTGAGTCAAATATGGACCAATCCAGGTTGATTTAAAAATATTGAATTAGGTTTTCAACCCAAAAAAAAAGAGTTAAAGTGTCTTGCAAATGTTGTGAAATAATGATATATTGTATATTGCCTGGATTCTAAATAAGGAAAAGTTTGCTCAAAATAAATTACCCATTTATTTTCCATTCCAAATTACATGTTAAGGGTTAATTTTAGGATAAAGAATGTTATTAAGCATAGGTGTTCTTGGCCTTTTGAAGTGATCTGGATTTACCAAATAAATGCAAGAGGAGAACAAATTCTTTACGGATTAATGCTGCAATAACAATTGCAGTTCAGTATATTGCAGCTGTGCATCTTGTAATGCAGCGGAGGTACATTGAAATCTAATCAGGTTCTTTTGATAGTTGTAAATGACAGCCTATATTTCATGAAGCAGCTATTTTATTTTCTTCTTTAGCTCAACAAACTTTGTTACAATGTTTGATCCAGTGTTTGGTTTAAACTATCCTACAGCTAAGAAGCTTAATAAAAACCAAAAAGTGAGCTTGCATTACTCGGAGTCCCAGCATTGACTAGTGTATCTAATATTTGAAAACTCCCAGTAAGTCCAACTGTTACATAAAAGTTTAGATGATCTCATTTAAAACACAGAGGTGTGTTTATGAGAGAGTGCACTTAAATGCACCATCAAGGAATCATCTTAGGCAAATTCGGACATCTATACAGATTACAATAACAAAGGGTTAAATTTATAACTGTAATTTGTACAACATTCCTAGTGACCATATGTGTAATTTCTCTCTAAAATCTGGAACAAGTAAAAGAGGTAAATTCCTTAGTTATATCCTCTGAGACGACAGGAACACAGCTTGTGTGAATTAGCAGAAATATTTCCAAACACTGCAACCATGTTCAAATCTTTCCCCTCCTTAATTGTAACTTAAACACACATTAACACATTCTAACACACTCCCTCACAATCACACGGGGAATTATGAGGCCATATGTGCAGCTGTGAACTGTGTGTGAGCCCCAGCTGAAAGGGGACACACTCAGGGAGAGATGGATGATATGTGGGGTTGTTTTTCTGTCTGCCATCTGTGAAGGCAGAGACCACACCAGCGTCAGTGTGACTCCTTTGTTAGACACAGAGAATCTTTAAGCTGCTCCTCTGTACATTTCACAGCCAACCCAGAGCACAGCTGCATGCCTTGACAGTTGACAAAGAGATGCACTGAAAAAAACTAATTCTTATCCCTTTAAATTTAAGTGTGCAGGCTGATCTCTCTATCAAAGTCAACCAAACTGGTTAAAAGCAGTTACCTGTAAACTGAGGGCAATCTGACGGATGTACATCATATTGAGGTCCTCCAGTATCCAAAGTTTTTCCTCCATGTCTGCGTATTTATCAGTTGGCATCGTTTGGACAGGTTGCTACGATAATAGGAAAGTAAGCTTCTTTTTGGAAAGTTAGTTGGAGGGTTTCAGTTCTCTACCCCGTTGAAACTGCTGCAAGAAACTTCATTTCTCCTTCCAACGCGTAAATCCCGTGCGCAAAACTCATGCGCAACTGTTCCAATCTCCATCCAAAACTCGACTGGAAACTCCAGTGGGAGTAAACTGTAATATTCTCCCCTATTTTTCTGCTCCTCTCCCAAAAAAAGAAGAAAAAATCCTCCCAAACACCCACGGCAATAGCTGTGGGAAGAATGGAGCCTTTTTTTAACGGAGCTCCTCGTCTTTGAGTCCCTTTCTGTGAACGTGCTGTGTCCTCTGTGTCAAGAGAACTCTCCACAAAAGGGCATCGCCTCAGCGGCACAACACTCCACTGTGTGCGTCTTTACGCTCCTCTGCTGCTCGGCGCTGAATTAACCCCTAAGACACGCTTTGGGTGTTAATAGCGAAATAAAATTTAAAAAACAGAAGGATCGGGGAGGAGAGATATCTACGTAAAAACATCGCAAATACCACAACAGAGCGAAGCCCCGATCGGGTGGAGAGCTTTCTTCTTTATTACAGCCTAATGGAGAGAATTTGAACCGTGACAGCTGGGGCTCCTTATGATTGGATAACACTTACACGCAGCATGAAATGTAAAGTAATGCTGATCCCAATTAAAAAAAAGTGCAGCCGCAAAGTTGGTTTTCTTCTTTCTTGATGCTGGGTTAAAAAATACGACGGAGTATTAGGGCCACACATGAAGAGAAAAAATATTTTTGCCATGACGAGATTAAACTCGACATGTCGACTTTAAAGTCGACATTAAACTCAACATTTTGAGAATAAAGTTGAAATGTCATGTTGAGTTTAATCTCGACGTGTCGACTTTAAACTCGCCATTTCGAGAATAAAGTTGATATATCGTGGCGACTTTAATCTCGACATTCCAAAGTTTGGAGAAAAGAGCAACCGCGCTCCACAGCTGCAGTCTGCGTTTTAAGAGTGAAGGTAGTCTTTCATGTGCTGCAACTGTATAGGATTCTGTGCATGTATCCTGTGCAGCGGTTGGCTCTCTTGAACTAATTTAAACTTTATTGTCGACACGTCGAGATTAAACTCAACATGACATTTCAACTTTATTCTCGAAATGGCGAGTTTAAAGTCGACAGGGCGAGATTAAACTCAACATGACATTTTAACTTTATTCTCAAAATGTTGAGTTTAATGTCGACATGTCGACTTTAAAGTCGACATGTCGAGTTTAATCTCGTCATGGCAAAAATATTTTTTCTCTTCATGTATGGCCCTAATACTCCGTCGTAAAAAAAAGAAACAAATGGCCGCGTGAAACTTTACCAAATTTAAAAGATCTCTGCGCAAAAAAAAAATTCACGTATATTGTAAAAGCGTAGGGTAACTTAAAACTTAGCAGATATACGGATTAGGGCCACTGAAAAAATAAAAAATGTTACCTGATTTTTACATTTTATATCAGTTTATTATGAGAAAAAGAATTCTGACTTTAATCTCAAAATTAAGACTTTTTTTCTGAATTCTGACCCCTTTCTTACAATTCTGACCCCTTTCTTACAATTCTGACCCTTTTCTTACAAGTCTGACTTTAATCTACAAATTCTGACTTTAATCTGAGAATTTGGACTGTTTTTTGACAGCTAACAGACATGTTAGCATCAAGCCGTAGCCATGTCTGTTTTAGATACTAAACTAGCTCTCTTGTTTTAATCACCTTCTGCTCTTCCATTAATGTTATGGCATCACTTGGGACCCCTTGGCACGTATAAAGTCCCCTAATTCTGTCATTTTCCACCAATGTGTCACTGGCCCTCTCAAACAACTCATATATTTGTCAGTGAAGCTGAGTGTTCCCACATTTCTTCATTCATAGTGCCCATCTACATCAAAATCCAAAATTCTGAGATTAAAGTCAGAATTTTGAGGAAAAAAAAGTCAGAATTCTGAGAAAAAGTCAGAATTCTAATTCTGAGATTAAAGTCGGAATTCTGACTTTTTTCCCATATTAAACTGAAATATTAAAAAACTTCAGTTAACTTTTTTTTTTTTTCCAGTGGCCCTAATCCTCTTACGTACAGATAACACCACTATTAAGTAAAAAATAAAAATCTACATTAGGTAGAAAATAATATCAGGGGCTTAGAAAACAGCATAAAGTCTTCCTCCTCTCCAGCTCTTGTGTGTGAGAGGTGTGTATGTATGTGTGTCCCTCCACTGGAAAATAACTGCATGCAGACCAAAAGTCGACCCCTCCACAGGAAACTGGCGTCTCGTTGCAGGCAGTAAGATTTATAACAATTGCACTCATTCCAGATCCATTTTACTATTCTGGGGTGACCAGGGTTATTTTAGAGGGTTAATGAATTAACCAAGCAGTCATGATGAGTGATGATGTAACTTTTTGCCCACGTGGAATAATAGGCATATAAACCAAACGGCTTTTAGGACATCTATAGTTAGCATAGAATTATGTGGTTTAGGTTTAACCAGTCTAGACTGTTGGAAGCTGGAGAAGTACCTCTCTTCTCCAGCAGAGTCCGCCGTGGATCCTCCTGAGCAGAGCCCTCTGCACAGCTGCTGCTCGTTACCATCATCAGGAGGACCCTCTACTTAAGCTGTCTTCAGACCTTGCCTCAACGCCGCAGTGTTGAGCCAGTTGGTTAGAACCTAAACCTAGAACCTCTGAGAACTTAGTTTGCTCTGAATCCTGACAGGATCCTAATCTTGTCTCTGTCTTTCCAGGAAAACCTGATCTTCCCTTGCGAAGCTCTGGAAGAGCTTAACCTGCCAAGCCTGCCCTCTGAGCCAAACCTGAAAATTACCTCTGGATTCACATGCAGCTCTGGACCAAGAGCTGGAAACCCAAAGTCAAGGTCTGCTACCTTCCTAGAAGCAAGACGCTGAAGCAGCTAACGGACTCTGCTAACCAGACTCTCTCCAGTTCCAACAACCTTCCTCTCCAAGTGCTATTCAAGGACCCTCAAGGTACAAACCAGAAACTATCTAAGGACAGTCCTCTAAGAACCCAACTAACTAAACTGTCTTCCTCACAGACTCCGCTGAACCAGTTTTTCCCAGGACCAGAACCTGAACACATTACCTCTGAAATTGTATTCAATAAACTCTGTGAACTTTTCAACTGTTTCCTACCTCGTGGTGTTCTGCATAATTGGGTCACATTCGTGTACCGATCATGACATAGACATTGCTGTTTTCACACCTGTCATAATCTAAGGTTGTCTAAATGACCAAAAAACACGTTAAGAGCTCTTTTTGATTCCAGGAGGAGAGAACAGACTGAATATTTTTTATGATTTTTTAAAATATATTTTTATAACAAAGGTTTGAGAATTCTTAATGGTGATCAAAATTAGGAATTGAAGGAAATCACATGCAATTTAACAGTTTTCTTTAAAAGAAATCACAAAACATGCTGCTGGATTTGGATAAAAGCAGCACAAGGGAACACTTTCTGGCAACAGCCAAATGACCAAAATGTAAATCACAGCATTACTTATGAGGGAAGAAAAATGTAATGTTTCAAATCAGATCTAAAAATGGTAAAAACCAGTAACCAATAGTGTGACTGGATAAATAAAAACATCTTGTAGTGCATTGGACAGACTGAATATGTTTAAATAAAAAAACCCAAAAAACATTGCAACAAGTTTGTATTGCTATAATCCAGTTGGCACTTATAACAATAAGCCAATAACATCTGTTTTTCAGTTTCCAGCATGAATGTAACTTGGTTGGGATATTTAACTGGGTAAAGCCGGACATACACTGCAGGGTTTCATCGTACAGTGTGAGTTCACAGCTTACAATTTATGTTCTCACACTGTGCGACCCAACGCTCTGATGCAATCTACCTGCTTACACTGTACGTCTAAAAACCAGGTCGGACCCAGATCCATAGTGAGATGGCGCTACTCTGACTCGTCTATCTGGAAACGAGTAAAAGAGGAACATGAAGCTCACTAGAGAGAAATGTGCTGCCTTGGCAATTTGTGCAATTTTGTGTGCTGAAAGCCCTAAGAAGAAAAGGCGACGACGTATTTGAGCATAGATATGGCTGAGCAACTATGCTACTATAGTCTGTCATTTATACAGAAAGAACTCCATTACACTCGCATCCCCGCCATGCTTCTGTGTTTTCATTTGAGAGGAAGAAGAAGAATCCTTGTTTGCCCACTGAGCGGATTGCTCACGACCACCTTACGACAGCCGACTGAATTTCAAACGTTTGATTTTCTCGCGACCTTACAATTCCTGATCGGGAGGTGGTCGTGAGAGGTTGATCTCCCCTCATTACCCCATGTGCACTACATGATATACGATCAGTTTGAAAGTCGGCCCGATCGAAAAATTCTCCCAAGATGAAGAATCGGCCCAAAAAGGGCCAAAATATCCTACAGTATATGCCCGGCTTAAGATAACTAAAAAAAAAACCAAGTAGTTGTGTGAGTCAATAAATGTAAATTAAATGTAACACTTGCCCACCTACATTTTTCTTGACAGTTACCCAGATCTCAAAATACAAATGATTTTGAAAGTTAATCTAAATGCATCTTAAGCCCAAACTGCCTCTTTACTCTGTCCTCACCATTCCTTTCGGCTTAAACACAAATAAGTGACCCTATATTTGCCTCTCTATCACCCCAGAGAATGTGCTGTAAACTTTTTACAAATGCAAACATCTAAAACAAAGGAGAGCTCAGAGGCTCTTTTTTCAGAGGAAAAAAAACAAAACAAAAAAACAAAGGGCGCAAAGAAGAAAGCAGCTGGATCATTTCCCACACAAAAACACCTCTTCCATTCAGATTTTAAGATCAGTCAGTTAATCTGTCACAGGGAGCAACAGCTGGAGAAGAAGGGACTCTTCCTGAAGTAGAGCGAGAAATGTTTAAAACAAAAGCTGCAGGCTGGAGGTAAAATTAGCTCATGAAACACTATGACATCTACGTAAGTCTCCATCTGTTGGAAACTGTGTGTATTCATTTTATGATTAACTATATCTTGGAGAGCTAAAAGGAATTGCTGCTGAACTAAAGAAAAAGATCAGAAACAATCGGTACACAGAAAAAAAAACAAATATGGGAGTCAGTGCCTTCCAATATGATCATAGATATAAATTGAGAGAAGATATCGGGGCTCCTCTTCCCTCCACTAAAGACATTTCGTCCCAGCCCTGTATGTTCCGAGCCCGTAACATTATCGATGTCCCCTCACACCCCCACCATGGACTGTTCTCCCTGCTGCCCTCTGGGAAGAGACTTCGAAGCATCCGATGCAGGTCCAGCAGATTCCTGAACAGCTTCTTCCCAACCTCCATCAGACAGCTGAATGTTGGGGAAAAAAAAAAAAAAAGAAAACTGACCATATTAATGCTTTTTTTTTTTGCACCATGTTTTTTTTCTTCCAATGTTTACATTTGATCAATGCTGCAATTTAAGAAATGGAAATGTCGTGAGAGCTATACAAAATGACAATAAAGTTTGCCTAAGTCTAAGAAGGAATGGAAGGGGGCACATC